ACAATAGAGAGATGGAGAAGAGTTATTCATGTTTCCCCGAGAGCTGAGATCAGTTGAAACATCATTTTCCTTAGGGATGGAGAGGAAAGAGCTCCCTTCAAACACATTGTCCCATGAGACTCATTAAAGGCTCATCAATTACAGCGAGAGCAAACAATTCCAGGGAAAGCTCTCATAAGCCTTCCTTTGGATGGCAGTCATTAGCAGCTCTCTGCTGCGCGCTGCCTCTCCCCAGCACCAGCTCCGGGGAGTGGAAAGGGAGCAGGGGGGCACCACTGCCAAGCCAGTGATGGGGGGGAAACAGGAGCCCGGTGGCCTGGCAGCGAGCAGGAGGGGCCCAGGTCTCCACAGCATCCCTGGGGCCATGTGGCCGTGCAGCAGCATCCTCGTGGAGAGCGCGGGGTGGAGATGAGAGCACAGGCTGGACTGGAAGGAGCCTTGGAATGGAGGTGGTGGCCCACTATAGTGGACTTCTGTTGCCCTATTTCTTCATCCGGGCTCTTTTTTAAGGAGCTCAGGGCAAGGCAGGATTGGGCCATGGTGGGAGCGGGGTGAGAGGTGTGTGGGGACGGAGCAGCTCTCTGGGTCCCCACTCAGCAAGCGGTTCCTCCAGCCCAACCCAGCACAGCAGTGGGGTCACCATGTCAGGCCTGGATAGGGGGTGCCAGCACCCCAAGGTCTGTCTGGGTCAGCCCCACAGGGAGGGAGAGGGATGAAGAGATGCTTTTTGCCTTTCTCTGCCTTACTTCCCTGCTCTGCAAGTGGGGTCACGGACAGAAAAGAGGTTGTAAAACACGTACGGACCCTTGGAAGGAAAGCAAAGGGCTGGAGCGGCTTTTTAAAATTATTTCAACAGTCATTATTAATGAAAGCTCAGGGACAGGGGCTGCTTTCCCACTCCCAGCGTGGCTCCTGCAGGTTTGTGGCTCTCACCCCTGGCTACAACCCCTTTCAAAGCCTGCACACCGGCATCTCCTTCCCTCGCACATGGGCTTGGCACCAGATGCCTCTCCAACCGCTCGCTGCTGTGACCTCCAGGACGCTGACTTGAAGAAATGCAGGGATGGCAAACAGAAAAGGAAAAGAAAAAAAAAAAAAAAGGATGCTTTCCTGTAAACTTTCCTTGGTGCTCCAAGCACCATGGTGCTCCCCAGTGGAGGCACTGGCAGCATCAGACCACACTGCACCCCTCTGAGAGGAGGCAGCAGCTGAACAGCCTGCACTAAAATAAACTCATAAATACCCCGTCGCGCAAACTGTAACACACTGGACCTGTCATTGCTCCAGCAACTTTTGCCGAAGAACACAGTGAGCCAGTTTCTGTTTAATTCAAAACGCAGTTGTGAGCACCTGCTAGCAGCCCAGTGCAGGACTGGGGTGTCCCCAGGCCATGGAGGGTGCCTGTGGGTGCTGCAGCTTCTGCTGGGGCTGCTCTCCTCCAGGCTGCGCCCCACCATGCCTGCATCCTATGTGGGCTCTGAACACTCACCGAGAAACAGCACCATCACTGCTAGCCCTGACCTGCGAGCT